GTATCGTTAAAAATTATTTTTTTATTTTGTACAAACAAAATAAATATATTGAAAAATATAAAAACAATAAAAAATTATACTTCAGAAGTTAATTTAGTATCAAAAACGTAAAATATTTGAGTAGCCGAAGATGTAGCCAAAGATTGCAGCGCCACAGCACTGGCGAAAATTTAAATTTGCCGACTAGAATTCTTTCGGATAATTGACACTCTCCTGTATATAGGATGTTAAGAAATTAGACCAACAAAGTAAAATGGATGGTACAGGGGATCAATACAAGCAGTTTTGGTCATATGAAATAGGTGTCACTGCTGTTTTATGAGATACAGGACCTAAACTTTTAGTGATTGCTGCCATATGATGCATGAATACTATACAGAGAAGCCTAACATTACTGTTAATTCACACTGTTCTAAATACACCTTGAAAACTCTGTGCTGGATAATCTGCAGAACTTACTTAAGCTTGTACAGTTTGTTACTTGCACTTAAAATTTGACATGCAGTTAAAAGTGACCATCAATCCAAAATTAACAACTAATAAACATTCTACTGCTATGTTGCAAGTGACACTGATAGTAGGCTTTCTTATACTACATGCATTCTATGCAAGACAGCAAAGAAACTTTAGGAACCTGTATCTTGTAAGGGGGCTGTAGTGATCCTTCCAGTTCATATAAGCTAAATTGCTTGTGTGGTTCTCCTTTACCATCCATTTCATTTTGTTGGACTAATTTCTTAACACCCTATATAAGTAATAACTTTTGATATGTAACTAAAATTATTATTTTTTATTTTCAAACGTATAAAATTTTGTTTTCAATTCATTAAATTTAACTGTCATTTGTTTTACACAATAGGAGTTATTTAAGAATAACACTTTTTATAAAAAATTATTCAATCAATCCGTGAATCTAAAACCACTGTTGTATAATCATCTTATTTTCTTTAAGGGTCATTTATATTAGATGTTCATTTCCTTAATATGTTATTTTTATATTATTTTGAATTTATCCTATGTATATAATTATTATTAAACCTTTCTTAATATATATAACTTTTAATTATCATTCAATTCAATTAATGCTTAACTCCATCGTCAACTCATGTTTCAAATCAGACCCTCCTAAAATTCCAGAAAGTTTTAATATATTTTTCCACTCAAAAAAGTTTAATTGTGAGTTAAAACACAAGATAATTTTATCCTAACTAGTGTCAGGGGATCTTAACAATAGTCTGAGAAAGTTGAGGTATTTGCATACTTATTAACTTTTGACGGTTAATTAACGGGCATCCCCAGTGAGATGAGAGGTATTCTGGAGCCAATCCCATTCTCACATGATATTAAAAGAGTTCAATGAATAAAAAAATGNTTGTTTCTAATTTGATGAAAATAAAATTACTGATAATAAAAAATTAAAAAAATCCATTCTTTCAATAAATTTAATGTTGTTTGAAAGATTAACATATTATATACGTCTATCCTTCCTTAATCTCCAGATCAGAGTTAGATGAAAGTCGAGACCAGATATGAAATGCTTAGTGACAGGTGGACCCAATTCACTATGAATGAACTTCCAGTGAATTTTCTACAGAATGAAATTAGATAGATGACTAGTATGACTCTGATGTTATCAGGAAAAGTATGATATACAGGGATTAAAATTGAGAGCATATGTTTTACTACTAAAATTGAGAGCATATGTTTTAAATTAAATAGTTAAAAATCATATCATTTGTAGAATGTAATGTTTGGCAATGGAAACAAATTAAAACTTTGTGTTTAAAATATAAAATAAAAATCTGCAGCTCAGCATTGTGAAAATGCTGGGCTGCAGATTTTTATTTTATATTAATTTTATTATTTTATTTTTATTTTAAATTAACTATATCAAATTTTATAATACAAGTATCAAGTATGAGTTTAATAGACAATGATTTTATTTTATCAAAAATATAAAAATAATTTAAAATAATATCATTATTTATTTATTATTGATATTATTTTTCTATGAAAATAAAACTACCAGAAATTTAATTTATTTGTAAAATTATTAACACATTAGCATAGCTTTTTAAACATGCTTAATTTTTCAATTATCATAAGTATATAATTGTCATATCTCAGATATATAAAAGTGTCATTAGACATACACCAGTAGTTAGTCATGATTTTTCTGCACTCACAGATAAAACACGAAATTGTCCATGGTAATTTCAAATCTTTGATGCACACCTTTCAATTCTATTATTGTTAGCTTATGATACTTTCTAATAGTATAATCTATTAATTAAACAAAATGAAAATTATTTAAAGTTTACTTAAGGTAAACAACCACTGAAATTATAATGCAGATGTCCATGTAGTATCTATATACTCTTATCAGATAAAGCAATTATAAGTACAGGTATCCCTTGTACAGTACAACACAGTTTTGCTCTAACACAGCTTTAGAAATGCTCCATACAAAATTTCACAATTTTTAAGTGTAAACTTCCTTATTCAATATTTTTTTAAAATTCAAGCAAGCATGTGTGTTGTCTCAAATTTGTTCATGGATTTTAGAATATTAAAATTTTCAAATTATTTTGTGCTTTTCTTCAGGTTTACTTTAATGAAAATTGATAGGACAAAGAAGAAAAAAATTGCACTAACTTTCCTATCAACCATCACATGTAATTTTTGTTGCTTTCAGACTTTAGTCCTTAAGACTATTGCTGTGTTTTCTTTTATAGATTAATCTTCGTATTTAGTAAAGTTTATTTAAACATTTTTAGGTAAGTGTTATTAAACTGTTTTTTGACCATAGGTATTACTTACTTATGAATGATGACACACAAAATACAGCAGTATCTCAGTATTCAAACACAAATTTTGGAAAAAGTTGCTTGGTACTTGATTAAACAAACACAACCCGCTAGAACAAATTTTTGATTAATAACATATTTTTATTTAATCATCCATAAAAACTTTTTATGATAAAAAAGAAAATGCCCTCATTTAACTAAATTAATATTAACACATAATACAGTACTTTTAATTGTGATTGTTAATTAATTATTGGTTGGAAATAAATTATCAATTGCTTTAATAAACATATTTCTCTTAGTAATGAAAAAGAATAGTATACTTTTGCTAACTTCTGGAACCCAACCTCATGCTTTGCATTAGTCCTTTGTTTTGTATAGCATGGATTCACATAACATGGCACGTTTTTGAAACATAACTACCATGTTATATGTGGGATACCTGTACTCTATTAAAACAATTCAGGTTGATAAGTGAAACATATTTGATAAATATTCAAAATACTTAAGAATAGAATTGTCTGAATTTATTTAATTAAAAATTATATATGAAATTCAAATTTTATAATGAAAATTAATGGATTGTCAATAAATTGAAATTTTTCTTTTAATAAGCTTACAATAGATACAAAGAATAAATTGTATAATAGAACAATTGTAAAAATATTTTTGTATGATCTGTAGACATAATATTGTTAAATAATTTATAAATAATAAGTTAAGAAATATGAAATATAAAAAATATTAAATTGATTTATTTACCAGTATCACTTTGAGTGGCAGGTGTTGGAGAAGGTGGTTTACTAGTTCCAGCAGCAGAACAACTAACAAAAGTAATTTCACCTATTTTGCTTTGAAGAATGTCTGTATTACTTGAGACATTACTATTATCATCACTACAAGATGTTTCACTTATGTTTTTGTTTTTATCTTCAACTTCAACACCCAATTTTAAAAATTCTTCATTTACATCATAATCATTTTCTTTTGCTCCTAAAAATAAAAGAAGAAAAAAATCATACAAAATTCACAATGAATAATTTATTAAAACTATGAAATATAAATAATTAAAAATTATTTCTTTACAATATTTAAAAATGAATAATATAAGTTAATGAATACCATTTTCAATCTTGAATGAAATGCAAAATAGTAAAATCAAAATAAAAGTTCTTAAAGTGCCCATGGCACCTATTTCTTTGGCTTAGTTTGTGAGTCTCATTGTACTGTACATCAATTTCCTTGATGTGCTTTTGAGGAATATTTTAAGGACCCCTTTTATTATCCACTTGAGATCACAACAAATTCAAAAAAATTTTTTAGTTTTGAAATCAATTGTTTTACATCTATTATTAATAGTAAATGGAAAGTGCTTTGTATTAATTATTTTCAACAGAAAAAAATCCCACAAAGATTAATTTATTATAAACTCTTTACAATTTAGATTCTGTTCCCTATTATAAATTATAACAAAGATATGTTTAAGATATTTTAAAATCTTTAAATCAAACTAATCTAAACTGAAATTTTTTCAAACATTATTAAAATTTTATAAAATTTAGCTGTGGCAGTGACTTATTGTTTTTTTAACTTTTTATCCCAACTTTTTGAGATGATAAATTATGTTCATTGTTCATTTCATATAATTCATTTCTTTTACCTTCAACACATTAATTGTTATGAAAATATACATTTGATTTTCCTAGTGCTATTCCCATTAACTATTTTTAATTTAGCCCTCCGTAAGTCGCTAGGAATGGGGCCCTTACTTGAGTCCCATGGGTCTTACAGACCCAGTGTTTTTAATATGAAATAATTCAATTTTATCTATCGCGTAAAAAAACTACAGTTTCTTTGTTGGATTCTGCGCTTTGTTTTATATCTAGTGATATAAATTACTTGCGTATTGACAAAATGAATTTATTAATATTTATTTTCATGTAATTCGATACGAAAAACGCAAAAAAATAAACATATCAAATTTCAACTCGCTGTAATTTATCTCCTGTTTCACCGATTGCCATCGGGTTTGTTTGTAAGTGGGGAAGAAATATGACACTTTCAAGCGAAGTGAGTAGAACTTTTGCACTACTGCGAGAAAATTTGTCAACCGACCCCGCGTTACCCCCTACCGCGAAAGTCAATAAACGTTAATTGTTTTATGACTCTATTTTCAACACTTCTTTTCTGAGTTGTAAATCGACTAATTGACAAAGATTTTACTTCATTTTACTCATAAGAATGTTGTCTTTANATTTATTTTGTTTGTACAAAATAAAGAAATAATTTTTAACAATACAATAGCCATGATTATTATTATAAAAATTTTCGTTAGTTTTAACATCAACGAAAATTCAACGCAAAGCGACACACAATGGAGAAAAATTTCAACATGGGATAGGTTAATATATTTTTTCGCACATAATCCGTTATCCGAACAACCCCAGTCCTCAATTGGTTTGGATAAACGACACTCTACTGTATTATTATACAAATTAATATAAAAATAACTTAAAATTAAAGTAAAGTTTTTAATCTTCAGCTCTATCCCTATTTACTCTGTTAAAATGACCTTGTTTAGTGCTTTGTCATCTTACTGTATATGTTCTCATATTCTTCTGAAGAAGTTAACAGATGTCTAATGTAAGCATGTACTCAGTGGAGAACTGATGAAAGTTTATAAAAATTCAGACATCCTACAATGATTATTAATGATAAAACTATGTTTCTTGTATGACTCACAGAAGAAACTCACCTCATTGACATAGGAAATTAAGCTTTTACCAACAGAGAAAATTTTTTCTCAGGAGATCCAAGGAAAAGATAATTCTTGTGGATTTTTGATATAAAAGGCTTGATGCATTAAAAGTTTGTTTGAAGTAGATCCAGTAACAAAGAGTACTACATTGAATTATATTTTTGGACATTTTTGATACTTTAAGGCAAAAATTGCCTCATCTTGGCAAGCAAAACCTAGATTCACTCCGATTTACTTTATTAAAACTGTAAAATAAATTTGTATAAGTGTCAACAGAAAATCTAAAAATTAGGATTGCAAACATTTGATAGGAAATAATTAATGGCATTGAGGATACTTTAAAGCAATCAAAAAAGTGGCATTTCATATATTAAACTAACTGAAATTAAAAATTTAGTATAGAAATAGCGTGTTATTAAATTTTATAAATAAATAAATATTTATTTGATATTTTACTAAATCATCCTGAAAATGATTTAAACTATCAACAATCTAAACTATTATCACGAAAATGATAGTTTATGTAATCATCCTGAGTAAAGTATAAACAATTTTGAGGTGAAAGATGTCACATAATTGTGCAAATCCAAGTTTCCTCTGAATCACATTTTATATTATATGCAGTCTATTTTTCAAGTACATAAGAACTTAATACCTTGGTTTTTGTTGACTTAGGTTATCATCGATTTTTTCTGTGAAATATTTGTCTCAGGTTTCATTGGTGTGCCCACGTGACTTTGCTGCTAATTTTGCAAAAACAAAGGGTGACCCACGCATTTTCCTGCTCAGTGTAGCATTGTTTCTCACTGTGTCAGCATTACCCCGCACATCTAACCAAACAATTCCATTGTTTTCCTTTCCTTTTAGCTCCACCATGGGACCAAAGAAGGTTTCCAAAGACAGCAGCCCTTTGAAGAAGGCCAGGAACATGATTGAGTTGAAGAAAATCATTGAAAAAATACAAGAGTGGCATTAAGATTGCTAAAATCAGCCACATGTATGGGAAGTTTCCATCCACAATAAGTTCCATTGTGGTAAAAAAGAAAACAATAAAGGAGGATAATACAACAAAAGGCATGAATGTGCAAACAAAACAGAAATTGCAAACAATTGTTGTCTAACAGTTATTATTAATTTGGATCAATCAAAACCAGGGCTCACCAGTGGCCAAGCTGTTCCTTTCCCTGAACACTGGAAATTTGAACATGGGTTTGCACAGGCTGGCCAAGTGGAGTTTTTTGGATTTTCTCCATGTCAGTAACACCTAAATAGGGGCCAGTACCCTTAAAAAGACCTCCTGGAAGGCATTTCCCTTAAGCAGATCACCAAATGTTGCATTGCTGTAACTTAACAAAACAAACAAACAATCAAAACCAGGTTCTGTTCAATGGCAATTCTGTTTCAGTAATCATCATATTAGTCTTTTTATGTTAATTTTATATTATTTTCTTATTGTTTTTAGTAATAAAACACTATATTTATTCTCTATAAAATGTGTTTTTGGTATGTATTTTGAAGTGTGTAGAACAAATTAGTTGGATTTACATTGATTCATATGGAAATAATTTCATCTGTTTTGGATTTTGCCAATTATTATCAAACAGATTATTGAAGAAAACAAAGGTATCACTGTATAATTTTAGAAAATTATGCAATATAGTGCATTATTAATATAGATAGTAAATTAACTTACCCTATTTAAAGTCTTTGCTAAATATGATGTTCCATTTCTTGCAGCTAATGATGGATATTTTCTCTGAAGAAATGAAGTTTCATCTTTTAAAGCATCTTCAATTGTCTGAAAACAAACTAATTATTAATTTTATAAAATTATTGAAATCCTGAAAAAATTTAAAAAACAAAAAATAAATTTTAAGTTAAAATTTTCTGTACTTGTTAAATTTAAGTATTTGATTTATTAAATTAATGTTCGCAAATCACACCTGAATTCAAAATTTCCAGCAAATAAAAGTCAAAAACACATATTGAACGTTTTCGGCCACTAAATTTATCTGTCTTCCTCAGGAAATACCAACTGGAAAAACCATTCTATAAATAGAACTTAGCTGCCTTTTAAATTTTTTAAAAGAACGAAAACGGCTGTGACGTATCGTGTATGACATATATTATGAGTCTAGATAGTCATACATTATACACGATACGTCACAGCCGTTTTCGTTCTTTTAAAAAATTTAAAAGGCAGCTAAGTTCTATTTATAGAATGGTTTTTCCAGTTGGTATTTCCTGAGGAAGACAGATAAATTTAGTGGCCGAAAACGTTCAATATGTGTTTTTGACTTTTATTTGCTGGAAATTTTGAATTCAGGTGTGATTTGCGAACATTAATTTAATAAATCAAATACTTAAATTTAACAAGTACAGAAAATTTTAACTTAAAATTTATTTTTTGTTTTTTAAATTTTTTCAGGATTTCAATAATTTTATAAAATTAATAATTAGTTTGTTTTCAGACAATTGAAGATGCTTTAAAAGATGAAACTTCATTTCTTCAGAGAAAATATCCATCATTAGCTGCAAGAAATGGAACATCATATTTAGCAAAGACTTTAAATAGGGTAAGTTAATTTACTATCTATATTAATAATGCACTATATTGCATAATTTTCTAAAATTATACAGTGATACCTTTGTTTTCTTCAATAATCTGTTTGATAATAATTGGCAAAATCCAAAACAGATGAAATTATTTCCATATGAATCAATGTAAATCCAACTAATTTGTTCTACACACTTCAAAATACATACCAAAAACACATTTTATAGAGAATAAATATAGTGTTTTATTACTAAAAACAATAAGAAAATAATATAAAATTAACATAAAAAGACTAATATGATGATTACTGAAACAGAATTGCCATTGAACAGAACCTGGTTTTGATTGTTTGTTTGTTTTGTTAAGTTACAGCAATGCAACATTTGGTGATCTGCTTAAGGGAAATGCCTTCCAGGAGGTCTTTTTAAGGGTACTGGCCCCTATTTAGGTGTTACTGACATGGAGAAAATCCAAAAAACTCCACTTGGCCAGCCTGTGCAAACCCATGTTCAAATTTCCAGTGTTCAGGGAAAGGAACAGCTTGGCCACTGGTGAGCCCTGGTTTTGATTGATCCAAATTAATAATAACTGTTAGACAACAATTGTTTGCAATTTCTGTTTTGTTTGCACATTCATGCCTTTTGTTGTATTATCCTCCTTTATTGTTTTCTTTTTTACCACAATGGAACTTATTGTGGATGGAAACTTCCCATACATGTGGCTGATTTTAGCAATCTTAATGCCACTCTTGTATTTTTTCAATGATTTTCTTCAACTCAATCATGTTCCTGGCCTTCTTCAAAGGGCTGCTGTCTTTGGAAACCTTCTTTGGTCCCATGGTGGAGCTAAAAGGAAAGGAAAACAATGGAATTGTTTGGTTAGATGTGCGGGGTAATGCTGACACAGTGAGAAACAATGCTACACTGAGCAGGAAAATGCGTGGGTCACCCTTTGTTTTTGCAAAATTAGCAGCAAAGTCACGTGGGCACACCAATGAAACCTGAGACAAATATTTCACAGAAAAAATCGATGATAACCTAAGTCAACAAAAACCAAGGTATTAAGTTCTTATGTACTTGAAAAATAGACTGCATATAATATAAAATGTGATTCAGAGGAAACTTGGATTTGCACAATTATGTGACATCTTTCACCTCAAAATTGTTTATACTTTACTCAGGATGATTACATAAACTATCATTTTCGTGATAATAGTTTAGATTGTTGATAGTTTAAATCATTTTCAGGATGATTTAGTAAAATATCAAATAAATATTTATTTATTTATAAAATTTAATAACACGCTATTTCTATACTAAATTTTTAATTTCAGTTAGTTTAATATATGAAATGCCACTTTTTTGATTGCTTTAAAGTATCCTCAATGCCATTAATTATTTCCTATCAAATGTTTGCAATCCTAATTTTTAGATTTTCTGTTGACACTTATACAAATTTATTTTACAGTTTTAATAAAGTAAATCGGAGTGAATCTAGGTTTTGCTTGCCAAGATGAGGCAATTTTTGCCTTAAAGTATCAAAAATGTCCAAAAATATAATTCAATGTAGTACTCTTTGTTACTGGATCTACTTCAAACAAACTTTTAATGCATCAAGCCTTTTATATCAAAAATCCACAAGAATTATCTTTTCCTTGGATCTCCTGAGAAAAAATTTTCTCTGTTGGTAAAAGCTTAATTTCCTATGTCAATGAGGTGAGTTTCTTCTGTGAGTCATACAAGAAACATAGTTTTATCATTAATAATCATTGTAGGATGTCTGAATTTTTATAAACTTTCATCAGTTCTCCACTGAGTACATGCTTACATTAGACATCTGTTAACTTCTTCAGAAGAATATGAGAACATATACAGTAAGATGACAAAGCACTAAACAAGGTCATTTTAACAGAGTAAATAGGGATAGAGCTGAAGATTAAAAACTTTACTTTAATTTTAAGTTATTTTTATATTAATTTGTATAATAATACAGTAGAGTGTCGTTTATCCAAACCAATTGAGGACTGGGGTTGTTCGGATAACGGATTATGTGCGAAAAAATATATTAACCTATCCCATGTTGAAATTTTTCTCCATTGTGTGTCGCTTTGCGTTGAATTTTCGTTGATGTTAAAACTAACGAAAATTTTTATAATAATAATCATGGCTATTGTATTGTTAAAAATTATTTCTTTATTTTGTACAAACAAAATAAATTTATTGAAAAATATAAAAACAAAAAAAACTTTAGAAGTTAATCTAGTATCAAAAATGTTTGATTCAGCATGACACACAGTCCTCAGAAAAACATTACACAAGAGTGCCAGTGCTGCCAGCTAAAAAACACACCAACATAAAAAATATTGGAGTAGCCCAAGATATAGCCAAAGATTGCAGTGCTACAGCACTAGCAAAAATTTAAATTTGCCAACTGGAATTCTTTCAGATAACTGACGTTTCGGATAACCGACTTTTGGATAAACGATACTCTACTGTATTAATATATCAAAAGTGAAAGCTTTATAACTTAATAATGAAAAATAAAATGCCCAAAACTGTTTGATGTTTAAAGTTAGAAAATAATAGATTTATTAAAAACAACTTTAATCTTTAAATTATTTGTAAAGTTAAAAGAATTTCCACTTTTGACTTACTAAATAAATTTCACAATTTTAAAAATATTAGCATGTACTCACCAGGAACACTAGCAATGCATAATAAATAGGAAGAGCAAATACTAAATGAATCCAAAACATCACCAGGATTATTAGCATCAATTACTGTCACTTTACTATTACCATGAGTACTAGTACAAATCCAAACAAGTGATGATAAACATTTCTCAATTTCTTCATGTTCTTTTCTTTCTTTATTGTGTTCCTGAAAATGCAGGAATATTTTAAATTTTATATTTTTCATAACCATAAAATAAATTAATAAACTGAATACTTATATTTCAACTCACTGTATGTTAATAATTAAGGTATTATTATTGTAAGACAAAATTTACTTAATTTTTTAATACATACAAGAAGGTAAATAATACAATAAAATATACTGGAAATATTTCCTAATGATAACCCACTTTTATAAATTCTTGAAGTAAAAATTAAGATATTATTATTAAATAATCTACGTGCAAATTTTATAATTTCTAAAAGCTTGTGTAAAGAATTAAACTGAATATGTTGGAGCATATTGGAAGATTAAATTACATTAGATTGAAAGAATACATTAATCTATAAGAAAGGATTAAAAAATATGTAATTATAAAATTATGTTTTTTTTCAAGTTAAAATGTACATAACTTATGTGCTGTACATATATAAATAAAATTACAGTAGAGGGTCATTTATCCGAAAGAATTCCAGTCGGCAAATTTAAATTTTCGCCAGTGCTGTGGCGCTGCAATCTTTGGCTATGTCTCGGACTACTCAAATATTTTACGTTTCTGATACTAAATTAACTTCTGAAGTATAATTTTTTATTGTTTTTATATTTTTCAATATATTTATTTTGTTTGTACAAATTAAAAAAATAATTTTTTACGATACAATAGTCTTCGTTAGGTTTAACATCAATGCAAATTCAACGTGAAGCGACACGCAACGGATAAAGATTTCAACATTGGATAGGTTGATATATTTTTTTGTACATAATCAGTTATCCAAAATATTGATTTTCCGAACAACCCCAGTCCCCAATTGATTCGGATAAATGACGCTCTACTGTATATACAGAATATCCCATGTAAAACTGATTCCACTCACTGAAAGGACGCTTATTAGAAACTTTATTTTAAAATTATTTAAACATACAGAAACTTACAGAAATTGAATTGTTAAAAGTTGTATCCTTGTGCATCTATGTAACTATATATGCATAATCATGTTCAGACTGACTTTACATAAAATACCAATGTTGATAGCCTCATTGCTTCTGCAAATGCCTTCCACCTGCTTATAGTTCTGAGATTGATATCATACACTTTTCCTTTTAAATATCTCCTATAAATTTGTATGACTAATTTTTCATCAAAATTTCCTACAAAATTATATCATTAATGTTTCATCAACTCAGTCAGGTCAATTTTAAGGGAGACAATCTGTATCTACTTGCATGTATATGTGCAAAAACGTGCAAAAATGTATTTATGTACACACACAAGCACTATATAATTACAAAATTATTTCATTTAGTAATCCTTTCCTGTATTTTATTTTTTAATTCAATAATGACTACACAGTTAGGATGGCAAAAGTATCATTACTGAGGGACCATATTTGAGTCTGGTCAGATCAGTCAGGAATTTTTCATAAGATAGATATGTCAAATCATCGAATCAGTTGGGTGTTCCTTTGCAGACCTTACTGAACTCTCAACGAAACATATGTTTTAAACTGTCTATTGTGAAAAAAGTAAAAAAATCCAAATTTGTTTAAATAATGTATATTCACAAAAAGTTTGTAGAGTTTATTTTATTTTTCTTACACAACTGTGTATTTTTCCAATTTAAGTACATCATTTTTTATATCTTAGCCTAAAGAGTTTGTTTTATTTTTATCTATAAATCATTTTGAAATACATTTCCAAATGCATCTCCCTTATTTATTATAAGATTTTATCTTGAGAATGGATACTGGTACAACAGATGGATCATATAAATTTTATTTGTAAATATTATTTATCTTTTAAATGACTTAACTTTGAACATTCCAGAGTTTGAATGTTAAATTCAAGAGAAATTCAACTCAAAGTTTGAATGATGCTTCTACTTTCAAATTGACATGCAGTGAAAAAATGCACTCACTGCATAAAAGCCATCTGTTGTGCATCCAAGTTATCTCACTCTCGCTGTGAAAGCATCTTACGTTAATTTAAGCTTATCTGTTTTCAGTACTTTTCTCACTTTATTTTTGATGTGTTTGGTTATATATGTAACCCCCTATTAACCATAGCATCCAAGAATGTGGAAACAACAATGCCTAAGAAGTTGTAGTATCAATGAATTAGATAAAAAAGGAATTTTTGCAAAAGTGTGAAAGCAGTACACATGTGACAGATCTGGTGGCCATGTTTAAATGCCAGTCAACAGTGTGTACCATTTTTAAGAACAAGAAAGCAATAAAAAAATGTGGCTAAAGGTGTAAATCAAAATCCTCAACTAGTAGTGCTAACAGACAGGAGAGAGAGATAGAGAGAGAAAACCAGAAGTACAGTTATTTGATGTGTTTATGGAAAGTGACCCCCATCCCAAACAATAATCTTTTTCTTCCTCTCTGCCAGCCACATGAGACATCATCATTCCTCAGTAAGATACAAAAAATATAATTTTCATTTTATTATACAGTATTTATGTATTTTATTTATTGTCTTCATTTAGGGCATATTATTTTTACTTAAAATTCTAAAATTATGTGTACTTGCTGTTTATCAAAATGTGTTTTGTTTAGGGTCTGGAAACAGATTAATTCACTTTCCATTATTTGTAATGGAAAAACTTTGCTCAGACTTTGAACAATTCAGAGTTCAAATGGTCTCCTATAACCATATAATATATACATACATATACATACACAAATTTTTATTGACATATTCTATGTATATATATTGAATATGTCAAAACAAACATGAAAATATATAGTTCTTTGATGTTGCAAAGAAGTTACAAAACCTGATAATGGCTGATATAGAAAGCTTGAAAATATCAATTTTTAATCAAATAATTTGCTGGAGAACTGAATGGAAAAGTAACAAATAAAATTACATTCATTTTTAACTGCCAAAAAAAAAAAAAAAACTTAACTATCAAGATCATTGGTTGTTTGAATTGCATCATATGCAAAAACTGACAAGTTATATTAGAGTATACAACTAATTTTTCAAATGAATTAACAACCATGATAGTATATAAGAAGATACAACCAATGGAAGTGTGTATTCATGAGAACTGATACATTATTAAATTCATTCTCAAATATTGTTCAGAAAGTTCGCAGCAGTTTTTGATAACCGACAGTTGAGACACTGATCGATGTGAAAATGATTAGAATCGTACAAACCAATAAATATTATGATAAATGACCTTGAGACGTGTCCGTTACAAAAAGATTGTTAAGATTATTCAAATGTCGTTTAATTTGTCTCATTACAAAAATGGATGCAAACGATATGCATTATCAACACTTGTTTCTTTTTTTTTATTGCAAAGGCAAAAATGCTGTACAAACAGCAAAAAAATATTTGATGTTTATGGTGGGAGTGCTGTAGCAGAATCAACTGTTCAAAAGTGGTTTGCAAAATTTAAAGTGGGTAATTTCAGCCTTGAAGATGCTCCCCACTCAGGAAGATCTGTTATTGAAGAGGACCAGATCAAAGCATTTTTGAATGAAAACCCTCATTATACAACTCAAGAAATTGCAGATATAGTGAAGTCATCAAACAGTACTGTATTTCAACATCTAAAGAAGCTCGGATACATGAATTGTTATGGCATTTGGATACCTCACCACTTAACAAAAAAAAAAAAAACTTATTGGATTGCATCTCTATTTATGATTCTCTTGAAAGACGAAATGAAAATGACCCTTTTCTGAAGTGTTTAGTAACAGATGATAAAAAGTGGATTGTTTATAACAACATCAGCCAAAAACAATCATGGGGTAAGAAAATGAACCACCAATAAAACTCCAAAGGCCAGTCTTCATCCAAAGAAGATCATGCTCACAGTCTGGTGGGATTGGAAAGGAATCCTGTACTATGAGCTGCTTCCACAGAATCAAACAATTGATTCTGATAAGTATTGTTTCCAATTGGATAAACTGAACATGGCAATTAAAGAAAAATGTTCGGAACTGGCCAATAGAAAAGGCATTGTGTTTCACCAAGATAATGCCAAATCGCACACGTCTTTATGAACATGCCAAAAATTATTGGAATTAGACTGGGATGTTTTACCTCACATCCATACTCACCTGACCTTGCCCCATCAAACTACCTTCTGTTCCGTTCTCTGCAAAATTCCCTTCATGATAAAATCTTTGACACTTTGGAAGCTTACAAAAACCATATGGATCAGTTTTTTGTGGGAAAAACTGGAAAGTTCTATGAAGAGGGTATCATGAAGCTCCCCATAGATGACAACAGATCATTAAAAACAATCGCACATATGTAATGGAATAAAAGTATATTTTTAGTTTTAAAACAGTTTCTTTTATTTCTCTTAAAAATCACTATAAACTTTCCAAACAAAGCAATATTTTGAGAGGAAAATATATGTGCTTGTTCAAATTTTCATATTATAAAAAGTACACATTTCAATTGATTGAAATAACAGAAATTTATGCATCACATATATTAGAAAAGTTCCATATATTATAAATACATATTTAAATAATCTTGTGAAATTATAATAATAATAATAAATGTTAACTTATTACTTTTATATTACCTAGTTAAAAACTATATTGAATATTAAACATTAATACATTTAATTATTTCTATTAAATTTAAACTTACCATTAGCTCACGATCTAACTTCTCTACTTCTGTAAGAGTTTCACTTCCAACAGTTAATTCCTTCTCTGGGGGAGAAGAATAGAAGACACTAGCACCAACAATATCACCTCCATCTAATGTTTTGCCACCAGTAAGATTAACTCCAGCTGCACACCATATCTATATAAAATTAAAATATAAGACTAATCTGACATTTCTACAATGACTTCATCTGTAATTTCCAACATATATTTATATTGATAAACTATAAAATTTTATATTATTATAACCAAATGTTTAAAAAAATCAATTCTATTTTAATAAATTTATTAAGACAACTTAATTATTATTTATATTGAAAATATAATTTTAGAACTCATATAATATCTAACATATCTAGTTTGTAATTTGCCAAAGAAATTACAACAAATAAGACCTAATGTTTACACCAGCATATATTTTTTTAAACTAAAAAATAAAAGTTAAAATTTTCTTCCAGCTGCAGGTTACTATGTATAAAAGAGAGAAATAGTAAAAATGTAAAATTTGACATCCTTTTAGCATGATAACCGCTAATAAAACATTTCAATTTTTTTTCTTCTTAAATCAATTTTTATGTATTTTGTATGATGATACAATAATGTTAATATGTATTGTAATATACTTATTTTACATACATAGCTTGTCTAGAAGAAACCAAACTTTTGCTCTAGGAAGAAAAACTACAAGAAATATTTTTTATAAATATGTTTATTTATTCAAAATAAGCTCCCTCTGCAGCTATACAATGTTCAGAACAAAGTAATGAGCATTTCAAAAGACTATTTCAGCACCTGTTTTGGCACCTGATTCAGTACTGCTGTCATAGCAGCCTCAATCTCAGGAATGTCCTTGTAACGAGTTCCTTAAATTGGAATTTTAAGTTTTGGAAACAGAAAATAGTCACAGAAAGTCAGATCGAAAGAATAGGGAGGATAATCAAAGGTTACAATATCTTTTTTAGCCAAAAATTGACAAAAAGCCATACTCTTATGTGAGGGTGTATTGTAATGCAGCAGTGTCCAGCTTCCTTGAATGTGAAACACCAGCCATATGCATAAAATATGGTTCCAAAGACATTCCAAAATACCAAAATAATATTTTTCAGTGACATTCTGGCCATTTGGAACAAATTCCTTGTACACAATACTCTTGGAGTTGTAAAAACAGATAAGCATTGTCTTGATCTGTGATTTTTGGAAGTGAAGTTTTTTCAGCAAGGTTCATCTGATGATTTCCATATGGAACTTTGACATTAGAGAGGTTGCAGCCAAAGTTCAAACGTTAAACTTGTACAGCAAGCAGAAGTACATGTTTGACGTTTGAACTCCAAGTAAAACATGTTGCGCTACATCTTCATGTTGTGCACTGACTCATGGGATATTGTTTAAAAATGGTGGAAATGTTTAACAAGGATGAATGTTACTAGCAAAGGTAAATAAACAAATTAAACTATTTTAAAGTATTTACAGAATGTTTAATAACACTAAATAATTCTTTTTAATTAGCGTCGTGTCTCCTACCATATGATGGGATAATAGGATTACCTCATACTTTTGTTGAGGGAAGTAGTGGTTTATGTAAATTCAAAAGAAGTTCAGAAAATTATTTTTAGAAAATTTACAAATCTATTATGCTGTTGTTGGTAGAAGATGCTGTGAAAGAACAAACCTACTCCTACAGAATTATAAGCTATTATGAACACAAATATATGTAAATTCTATAGGCACTTCACATCACTTGCAAAAAAATTAAATAATTAAATAATTTCTGGATTAAAATAGTCTGTTTCTTTACATTATTATTCATAAATGCTTAAATAATCGTTATCTTAATAAAACAAATCATAATTTTAACCCCAAACACAAAAAAATGAANATTTTTGTATGATCTGTAGACATAATATTGTTAAATAATTTATAAATAATAAGTTAAGAAATATGAAATATAAAAAATATTAAATTGATTTATTTACCAGTATCACTTTGAGTGGCAGGTGTTGGAGAAGGTGGTTTACTAGTTCCAGCAGCAGAACAACTAACAAAAGTAATTTCACCTATTTTGCTTTGAAGAATGTCTGTATTACTTGAGACATTACTATTATCATCACTACAAGATGTTTCACTTATGTTTTTGTTTTTATCTTCAACTTCAACACCCAATTTTAAAAATTCTTCATTTACATCATAATCATTTTCTTTTGCTCCTAAAAATAAAAGAAGAAAAAAATCATACAAAATTCACAATGAATAATTTATTAAAACTATGAAATATAAATAATTAAAAATTATTTCTTTACAATATTTAAAAATGAATAATATAAGTTAATGAATACCATTTTCAATCTTGAATGAAATGCAAAATAGTAAAATCAAAATAAAAGTTCTTAAAGTGCCCATGGCACCTATTTCTTTGGCTTAGTTTGTGAGTCTCATTGTACTGTACATCAATTTCCTTGATGTGCTTTTGAGGAATATTTTAAGGACCCCTTTTATTATCCACTTGAGATCACAACAAATTCAAAAAAATTTTTTAGTTTTGAAATCAATTGTTTTACATCTATTATTAATAGTAAATGGAAAGTGCTTTGTATTAATTATTTTCAACAGAAAAAAATCCCACAAAGATTAATTTATTATAAACTCTTTACAATTTAGATTCTGTTCCCTATTATAAATTATAACAAAGATATGTTTAAGATATTTTAAAATCTTTAAATCAAACTAATCTAAACTGAAATTTTTTCAAACATTATTAAAATTTTATAAAATTTAGCTGTGGCAGTGACTTATTGTTTTTTTAACTTTTTATCCCAACTTTTTGAGATGATAAAATATGTTCATTGTTCATTTCATATAATTCATTTCTTTTACCTTCAACACATTAATTGTTATGAAAATATACATTTGATTTTCCTAGTGCTATTCCCATTAACTATTTTTAATTTAGCCCTCCGTAAGTCGCTAGGAATGGGGCCCTTACTTGAGTCGCATGGGTCTTACAGACCCAGTGTTTTTAATATGAAATAATTCAATTTTATCTATCGCGTAAAAAAACTACAGTTTCTTTGTTGGATTCTGCGCTTTGTTTTATATCTAGTGATATAAATTACTTGCGTATTGACAAAATGAATTTATTAATATTTATTTTCATGTAATTCGATACGAAAAACGCAAAAAAATAAACATATCAAATTTCAACTCGCTGTAATTTATCTCCTGTTTCACCGATTGCCATCGGGTTTGTTTGTAAGTGGGGAAGAAATATGACACTTTCAAGCGAAGTGAGTAGAACTTTTGCACTACTGCGAGAAAATTTGTCAACCGACCCCGCGTTACCCCCTACCGCGAAAGTCAATAAACGTTAATTGTTTTATGACTCTATTTTCAACACTTCTTTTCTGAGTTGTAAATCGACTAATTGACAAAGATTTTACTTCATTTTACTCATAAGAATGTTGTCTTTAT